CAGGTGCACAAAACAAAACAAATCTGAATAACTAGTTGTCCACTTCGAACTGCAGGGAAACGAATTCCATTGTTGTTTTTACGCAGTAGCAGAACGCAGAGCATTCAACAGCTGATTATTACCCGTGTCTAAATTGTGTTCCCTATTACATGTGGCGTTTAGTTTAGTGCGGTTGAGTTCGTTATGATCGTGCGTTTGGTCTCTAAGCCTCAAACTTAGCCCATCATTAAGGCAGCTAATAGAAGAGAACCCCAAGCAGTGGATTATCAGTGTAATGGGAGTACAGGAAAAATCAAAGCAGACAGACGAAAAACAACACACAGCACGATATCCAGTATGACTCATTTAAACCACAGGTCACAGTTCTTATTCGGATACATCAATTATTATTATTGCAATATCTCACGAGGCACACAATTCTCCAGCACCTTAAATATATCCCTTTTGATTTATTAAATATTTTCTTTCTTTTGCTGTAGAACTAATGAATCTAAATTGTTGTGTTGAGAGCAAAAGAAATTGATTTATGGAACACTAACTGTCTGATCACATAACTGAAAGTAAAATTTTCATCGAGGTCGCATCGGCCCAAAGAGATCGAATCCGAACTAAATAGGACCACATCATTCATGTAATCAAAAAACGTTTTCCTACTACCTCGTTGGCCAGAGCGCACCTTCAGTGCAAATGATATTTTAATGAAATTACAATACGATTTAAGGATAACTGTTAGATGCATACAAATTTGGTCCTGCCGTTACTGGATAGAGAGTAGATTTAGAGCCAAAGTAACGAAAATGCATTTTATTGAAGTCTGTAATCACGACTGCGGATAGTTGTACCCTACCGCGTCACCGATTCCATTCTTAGATTCGCGCATCACTGGTCTGTGTGCACACACGTGAGTTATGGACGTGTTCAATTCGTCACTGTTTAAAAGTATGTTTATAAACACAAGCCTACGAATATGATATATCTGTGAAAAATAAACCATGTGATCCTACCCAGAAAGAAATCTGATCGTCAGGCAGAATTAGAAACACAGAGGTAAAACTTACGGTGTCGATGCTACGCTCGAGGAAGGGGAAAAAGGAATAGGGATGAAGCTTTTCCACAGCCGAGGAAGCCCGGATTGTTTGAACGACCGCTTGAACATCGCGTGGATTATTGCTCCGCGGAATAACGATCTGTGAGGAAGGCGGTACCCAGAAGTGGGTTTAAAAATGGAATAGAACTAACTAACGTTTCTAAAGGCAACGAATAAGGGTGAAGCCGTAGCAAAAGACAACCAAAAGTGTGACTGGAAACGGATTACCACAGCATCAAGTAAATGAATAACTGTCAACTGATAGAGACTGAAAAGATCCAAAGTCATATTTTTGGTAAAATCATCCAATTAATGGTAGACAAAGAATGATTAGAGATGCTTGGTGACTGAAAGAAACGAACATCTTAAAGTTTGAGTGTGGAACACAGAGTGATCAGCAGTGTTCGATTGAGCATCACGTGACTATCCATTTTGCGTTGGAGATCTGCGTTTACGTGTTAATGCATCGAGAACAGTGTTGCTCCTGCTCCTGCTTTATCTATCATCGATACGTTCAACCTTCTTACACACACTGTATCATACCCTTTTCCCAGTTTGAATCAAGTTGATGCGGGCTAGTAAAAGAGCAGAAATACTAACAAAAGACTATCTAAGGAGTAATCCCTGAACCCTGTTCAGCTTTGCATGTGCGTTGTAACTGAAACATGGTAACTATTTTTTCGTCCCTCCGAGACCATTTCCTTTCGGGCTAATTCCAGGCTGAGCGCAAATTGTGTTGGATGCTATAAAATCTGGAGGGGATTTCGACTATTACAACAGCGAGAAGGGGCCGTACTGACCTCAGTCCATTTGTATCAAAGCTTGTGTGGATGTGAGCAATCATGCTCTTTAATTGAGCGATAGCCAATCTACAGCCATTGAATCACTAAGATCGGTTCAGTAAACATGTACGAAGACAACAGTTTTCAGTTTCAGTTTGAACAACCATTAACCATGCACTTTCGTGCGCCGGTTTTGGTTGCTGTCTTTTGGCTGCCCATTGGGATGAAGAATAGGAGAAGAAAGGAAAGTTGAAAGTGGATTCGAAAAGAAAATGGAGAAGTTCAGTGGACTAAGGTTGGAAAGAAATTGAGGAGATGCACGAACGCCACTGTTTACGACACCCAGCCATATCGCTCAGTGTCTCTAATCATCGGTTACGATCATCCCGAGGTCCCCAGCCAGGGAGCCTAACGGGGCCTATGTGACCCAGCTTCCTGGTTACGGTTTTCACACCCTCGTGCCAGGTCTT